CTGGCTCCTTGAATTGCAGAAAGTTACTTAGCTTTGTCAGTTCGTAATATAAAACGGTCGGCGAGCCTGTTGAGTTTTCCCCACAAAAAGGCACGACAGATATCTATCGCACACATGGAATCGCACGCACTAGAAAAAGGAAGTAACTTTTCCGCGTTCGGCTGAACTCTTGGTACTTTTGTGTTTGTATACTAAAGGCGATTGCATATCTGCCGTAATCGAAGTGCTCTTCAGTTTAAGTAGCACAGAAACTTCTTTGGATGAATTTCTCAAGGTTGCCTGCTTGGCTTGAAGTGACTGTCTTTCCCGGTGCAAGCGTTTTTTTCATGTATTTTTCGCAGTGGTTTTCAATGGTTTTTCATTTTCTCACTCACATGTCACTTGTCTTATTGATTTTTTTCTCAATCTCTGCGGCATGGCCGGCTAGAAGTGTCGGAAAGAAGCCTGTGGTAGGGCGGCGCTCAACTTTGCAGAGGCCTCTTAAGTGCCATGTCGCCGATGTTATAGTTGGCACCGCGAAAATTTCGCGAACCTTGCTCGGCCAGCATACAAAAGTTATAGTAAAGCTGAGAATGTCTGGCCTTGCACCTCACACTCCTCAGATATTCACTGGTGGATTGAAAAAGCGGAAGCACTTCTTAATACCTTCACAAGGAAGCTTGCATCCGAAGGGAAAGTTGATAACTGCAAAACGATGGCGATAAAACGTTTGTCGGTGCACAGATCGTTGTGCGGAATTTCAAGAATGTCACACAACGGATTGAAGGTCAGGAAGGTAGACTGTCTACAAGATTTTCTGGTGACGACTTGGAAAAAGCCACACAGAGCAGGGTGAAGCGGTTGCCTTTGGGTTCCCGCAACCACAAGGGCGCCGAGCTGAAGCTCTTTCAGCGCTAACCAGATAGCTATCCAGGTCACGAGCCCTACTTGGCCCGGCGAAACGTTCGCGCAGGGGGATAAAGATTCGTCCTGAGGCTGTGAATGTCAGGGCCACTTACCTAGACCTTACCCGGCCTTCCAAAACCGACTTCGGAAAACGGCAACGGAACGAGATGCCAACCAACCAACCGTCAATACTCCTCACAGCAAAGATAAGGTCAGGCTCCCTGAAAGGTTTGCAATCTTCCACACAGTGGAAAAAGTGAAGGGTCGGAACCCAGCGCTTTATTGAAAATGGCCTTGGCAACGTACAAAGTTTGTTAAACAAGCCTTTACGGAAAGACGTATACATAAATAAATACTTTATTCTCATGTTAGTAATTTAACATGAGAGAAGTCAGTTTACAGGCATCATCACATTGGTATATTGGAAAATGTACAAGATTTCACGGGATCTGAATGGTACGATGATTATCGGTGGTTGTCCTACTCAAGACAATTGTTGTGAGCAAAAAAAGACGGTTTCCGCTGAAAGCAGCCTTTGGCTACTTAGAGTTAACGGGAGAGGAGTCATATTCTGAAGGACGCTTACGGACCTCAAGGAACTGGGACGCTCTTCCTGAAGGGTTTTCCCCTTGCTGATCAAGTCGAAAAACGAGAAGCAGCAGAAGAATTAAAATCCAGATTAGCGGCGGGAGAGAAAGAACTAAAAGTGATGGATTTTTATGCGATGAAGCTTAGGCAGCAAATGATGCGAGAGCCTCTATGGATACGCTGAAAATTCATTCAAGTGGTTTTACCGTCTCGTACACAATTGCACATGGTCTCCTAAACGAGTGAACGGGGCTTGGTAAGACAGTGAGTGTAGAGAGCCTTGAGATTATTATCATCCCGAAACCTAGCTATCTCCTGAGGTCAGTGACAGTGAGACGCATTTATGAGGCTTTTTATTTCTGGGGGTGATAGATCGCTGCGCGCACGTGGTGGTGTCATCATTTTTGTTAAGAATACCTTAATTGTAAGAAACATGGAAATGATCACAAGCGAGAGTAGGGCTTGTGAAATGTTGCATTGCCTGCCTGAGGCAGGGGTCAAAATGTTTACTTAATTGTTGTATATCGAAGCTTCGAATGTCTAACAGAAGACTTCCTCCCGAGCAGGCTGACCTTCCGAACAGTTAACTACCGATTCCTGGTCGTAAAAGACTTCGACGCAACATCAGCCTACCGAAACAAAAGAACAAAAGAGTCATCTACTCGTTCGTCCCATCATGAGCTAGTGCAGGCGATGGTTTTTTGGTCCCTATACAGCACAGCGGGACGGCAACCAGGTACGGTCATCGCCATACTCCATCAGTCCTAGACTGAGCATTCTCAAACACTGACGATGTTTGTTTCATTCTGCACCTTGAACCTCTCGGTAAGAGCAATCACGCTGTGGCCTCCCTGTGCCGGATCAATGTTCTATCCGTACCCAAAGTGTGGAACACGAGCGTAGCAGCTATTAACTTGCAGCCTCCTCGGAGGACTGAACGGTCGATTCGGAAGCTCAGGTTAAGGCAGCATGGTGCTCTTCCAAACAGTTATATGCAAGATTGACCTGACTGTTCATCCCGCGGATTGTCCCAAAGGGACGAAAACGCTGTCACTTATGGATAAACTGCGAAATCCGAACTTCGCTATGAAGCGAGAAAGTGTTGGAGTCTTTGCATCCGCCTCTATATCCTCGAGGTGCAGAAGCATCAAAAAGAAGCGCGAAATGGATGTATAGCTGCTATCTGCGATCTCGAATGTGCCTTGAAACACATCTTCCTCAAGCTGCGCTGTAGTGCCCATAATGGTTAATTTTTAGAATGAACTATAAGAATAAGACGTATCGTGATATATCTGCCCTAACCAAAAGAAAACACTTGCTATTTAATTGAAAACGATAGAGAAAACGCAGAGGCCGTGGCTGAACATTTTGCTGGGATCCTCCTATGGACACTAAATCAACAACAGAAGCATTGATGTCCAACAGACTAAACTTTGTGGACATTAGCTGCAACGGTGTTTTCAAGGCAGTGGGTACTGTTGATGCAGAAACATCAGTGGGACCGGATGAGCTGCACCCAAGGCTGCTCATAATGCTCAAACTCTATGTAGCCGGACCATTAACTACTATAATTAGACCCGCCGTCAGTAAGGGCACACTCCCCTTAAATGGAAGGGGGTCACAGTCACAACTACGTACAAGGCAGGTTCCATACAGCACCCATCAAATTTACCTGCTGACACATCTGGACAGTACTGTAGTAAAAATCTTGGAAACGGTAATCAGTAAAGGCTAACGTTGTAATGTCTCATTCGCGGTATGTCTATCGCACAGGTTCATCCTGCTTGATGAACTCTCTCACAGTCAGAGAAAGCCGTGTTAAGTCTAAGGATGATAGGGTACCTATGGAAGTCAGTTTTACAGGCTTCAGTAATGCTTTCGACGGAGTAACTCCTCTCAGGCTGCTCAAGAAACTGAAAAGTTTTGGGAGCATTGGCAATCTGTTTGAACGGAGTACAGAGTTCCCTGTTGGTGGCAGACAGAGAGTAAGAATGAATTCTCAACTCACCTGCTGAAAGTCGATAGGGAACAGAATACCACAAGCACAGTCTAGGGTCTTCTGCAACTTCTCCTGTACATTAGTGAGCTTCCAAATATCACGAAATCTCCCAGGGTTCTCCATGCTGGCGTAAGCATCTGGCAGGAAGCTAGGGATGATTGGGATGTAGGTGATCTTCAGGCAAGCCTTAGCGGGTTGTCTATATGGTCAGGGGTAGCTGATGCCTATCAGCCCAGGTAAATGTGGAAGCATATACATAGGGCACACAGGTAGCAGTATTTGAGGTATCAAAGGGACCCATCCACCTTCAGTATTGACTCATAGTGATCTCGCAGTCACAGTGAGTTATGACTTGAAAACCACAACACAGTCTGCTGGTCCCAGCTAAGAGCTTTAGGACACTCTGGGCATTACATAGGACGGTTGCAAAAGTAGATGGCGATATGTTCGTCATCTTATAAACATCCGCAGTCGGGTCCAAACTAGAAAACTGTGAACGGACTGTAATTTCGTGATTCGACGGTAACTCAGACCTTCCGGAAAGAGTTCCGAGGGCAGTCATTCTTATGGTCTCTATGATGGCTAACCTGACCAACGAAGACCGACATAAGGAGCTGAACCTTCTTCCTCTGCCTTGTCGATGAACAGAAGATCAAATTGTGCTGCACAGGATGCTGGGAAGTGACTATGGACTAGATCATTCCTTCCGTTTACTTCCTAATAGGTCAGGACACTGCAGAGGACATAGTAGGAGAATAAAAAAGCGAAGAACGAACGTGGCCTCAGCATAGCACTGATTCCATCGCTCCTAAAACCAACTGTCAGAAGAAGTGGCACGCATGTCATCAATTAACTGGCTACAAATATGCGTAGACGAGCATAGTGATCTACTGGAAAGGGATCGAATAGGGCTCAAAGCCTTCTATTCCCAAACAAATCCTAAGCTGGACCTGAATCTTACCTCCAAGATACAGAAACAAGCGGAGATCTTGATCCCGCAAAATCACGGCGTTCTTCAAGTCAAATTCCGCGAGGCTTTATAGCCACTGTCATTCATGACAATACGGGAGTTTCTTAGGCCCCTAGTAATCGCAGAATTCTGAATCTATATAATGTGCATCAAATTACATAGTAGCAGGAACATAAAGCTACATCGGACATGATAACTAGTTCATTTTGGTTCCGTCTCACTGTATGAACCAGATTTTCTTACTAAGTATATCGTTACTCTCAAATATCGCAACTAACTGATAGAAAGAAAACTGAATGGTCAGGATACACATCAGCAATAAATAGACCTGTATTTTTCTGATTATCCAGACATTAATGAGCGAAAAATTCCCCTGAACTCCATTTACTACGTATGTTTTAGATGAACTGCGAAAATAACTCTTAGTCTACTTTCTGCTTCAAATCTTTGTTTGATGCTTTACTGAAGGTCAATTTGAGGACTCACAAATTTGACGCGGATTCCGTGTTCCTTGTTTTTATTTAACGTTTTCATGTAATTAATGAGTACTTAAGCAGAATGATCAAGAAAGCAGCTGTTGTGAGGTCTTCAAAAACGTATAGAGGTCAGAAGAAACAGGAAGGTTAGCTAAATAATTTATATCGTAATGCAATTGATGTTTTAAAACTTAAATTATGTATTCATCTTTTTTATTTATTCATTAATGTATTAGTGTTATTCCCATTTTACTTTTTCTATACTTTAAAATTATTTTAGACATGTGTTCCAGAGTTGGAAGCAGTTTTCAGGCAGAAATTCCAGATTACATTGGGAAAATCTCAAATGTCGATGCGAAAAAGTCTACCCCTAATGAATTTAGTGTGTGGATGCCAAGTCTGCTGCCTAATGTTCATGAACTGAACTCCTATCTCGAATTCGCGAAACAGCACCAGTAAATTTATTTGGTTTCTAAATTTAATTTGCAGATACACCCAAGAATTGGCTTTGACACTTCTACATTGGCATAATTATGACATATCAAATGCTGTTGATGACATACCTAATTATGCACCTGCATACAACAAGTGGACGAAAAGTGAGGTGAAGAAGTTTTTGAGATGTATTGACTCCAAACCAAGGAAGAATTTTGTAGAAGCTAAAAAGACGGTAATTTTTTTGAACGATAAAACTATTGTATTCTCACAAAGCACCATAGCGTCTTATTTTTAATCACTCACCTCGTTGTTTAGATTCCCAGGTCCTTAAGTTTGTAAACAGCATTAAGAAGCGCTGTCTTCTTGTGCTCAAGTTTTATTTGCTTTCCATTCCGTTAGTTTTCACCAAAATGTTATCGACTCTGATCTCACACTTGTCAAAAAAATTTCAGAAAGCATAAATAACCGTGTTAACTGCATATTTTATGTAAGATTGCGGTGGTAGTTATTGTGAAAAACAACAGTAGAAATTAAGTCGGTGTATACTGTCCGTATTTCTAAACGTTGCTTTTTCAGTTGCCTTGTTAAATTCTGCAGCCTACGGTTGTTAATTTACAGACCATTAAGTTTCAGTCTAGGGAAGCTGATGTGATCTGGGTGCATTAAAATAGTCTAAGCTCTATGTTCTAGGTTATCGACGTTGGAATGAATGCTTATGTATCTTATTGGATATAACAAATTGCTCACAATGAAGTCAATATCTACACTGAGTCCTATCAATTTTCATGATTGTATGCTTCTTTATCACATCTGCTCATGCCCTTCTTTCATTTTGAGAACCATTTTTCTTTCACTGACTGTAACACTTTTGTGTTTGGCCAAGGTAAGACTTGTATGGATACACTTCCACGCATGGAATCACCTTGTTCAGTTCCCAGGGATAAAAATTGTCACGAAAAATTATTATCCCTTCTCTCAATCATTGTTTTTGCCTCTTTGCACCAGCTCTTATAAAAATGGTAGCGTCTTATATTACATTTTCTCAAGTCATCCTATCAGGTGTGCTTTCAGTTGAGAGGTTAGACTTCTTGTATTGCTTTAATGCCAAAATTTATTACAGTACTAAGATTCCGGTGTTCCATATGTGATTACGTCCTGTCGCAATTCTTCATTGTTATTTGCAAGAAAGCTTTCCTTAAGAACTGGCCTCACGTAACTTTATTATGATTTATAACCCAAAGTACACAGTATTTTTGACAAATCGTGGCAAAGAAGTTTGTTCATAACCAATGATCAACTACTAAGGTATATATATATATATATATATATATATATATATATATATATATATATATATATATATATATATATATAGCCCCTCTTGAATCTTACTGTTAACTGTCATCGGCCAGTGTTCTTTGCCACTGGTTTTCTTGTCTTTGCACATAGCCTGATATTTCATTTTATGAATCCCTTACTTCATATCGAAGTTTAAACTGGTGTAATTTATCATAAATATATTTTAGTCATAAGTCATACGAGTGTCTCAGTGCTGAGTTTGACCGTTATTTAGTGCTACTTTATTGTCTGACAACAGTTTGTATGTCATTGTTTGAGACCGGAGTTCACTGATAGTTTAATCAGACAGTTCTCATGATGTATGTGAAATGTACGTTTGTGTTCAAGATATTTTCGACTTATATCTGTCGCTTGCTTTTGTTTCATTGTGACTGTCCACAAGCCTCTTTATTTATACGCATCGTGTGAATACAATATCGAGGGTTGTCTTAGTGATATAATTCAACACCACAGGTTCTAACGACAATTCACTTACCGAATCTCTTTCAAACTTCATTGACAACTTGTGTTTGTTGTGCTTTTGAGCTAGTGTAAATATTAATTACGAATGTACATCTGAGGTTTTGTGAGCTTTGGAATCATGAAGAGAAGTAAACCTTTTTCACAGTCACAACTTTATGGTCTACAATTATCACCTGTTGAACGGACGATGATTGGAAACTAGCATGTCTGTAAGATCCGCTACTTAATGTTTAAACAGAAGTACGCGATTGTGAGTTAATGAGAATTAGATACATGGATGACACACAGGGTAAAGCAGTGTCTCTAATTTTTAGTTAAAAAATCATTTTAGTACGGTGCAAAATCCCAAGTTTGTCATGTTTACTAACCAAGTAAATATATCTCTTCGTTTGTTTGCCAGTCCTATATATGCGAATCATATCCAACAAACTTTTAAGGAACCAGTCAAAAAATAGGTGGTTATTACAACAGAGATAAACTCTACTAAAGCATATGTTTTTATTATTAGTTTCAAAGTGAATGCATTCATAGATCGGATTTTAACATATATCTTACAATTAGGTGTCATGTCACTGATAGGTTCATATTGATAATAAAGTAGTATTGGCTAACCTAATAGTAAAAGTTGGTAATGCAAGTACTTAACTCTAGCCTGGTACTATTAATTGTATTTTTCGAATCTCAAGTGGTGTGTGAATTCCATGTTTTAAGTGTTTGGTTTGCAATAAACAGCATATCATTTTAGCAGGAAGGTTAGACTTCTAGTTAGGCAACAAAAGTCGTCTATCTTTTCATGGTATCGCTCCAGGTCAGATACAAATATTCATAGTGTATGAGTTTAATGATTTAACGACTTTTTCTTATATTGTCCAATAGCTGGACTATGTGCCCTCTCATTAGCTTTTTAACCTGGAATGATTAGTATTTATCTTCAGCTGATTTTAAATCCATTCTGGGTACGTGTGTAGTATCATGATTACAAATGAAAAAGGAATAAAATGTCTACATAAGAATGAATCGATAGAATAAAAAGGTTCTCATCCCTGTATTTTTGACGTCATCGGTATGAATTGTAGCGATTAAAATTTCAAGTTTTATCTAATAAGTTTGAAGGTAGCTGATTTGGGCAGTTATTCTTATTTTTCTAACGGTTATGTCAGATGCATCATAACCATTCTACAGCTCCACTAGCCTTGAGTTTGGTAGATATCGGTTTTATTGGTAAGTAAATTTCATCAGTAATAGCTTTACTGAATTAATCAAGATGATTTTAATGCGTTTCGAGTAGTGAACTAGTTTAATGGTGTGTCAGCTTATATCACTGCACTTAGTTATATGATAAAAATACTACCATTTACCAGGAAATGGATAAACTCGGGATATGTTTAGTTTGTAAAGTTTACTACCGAGGGCAGTTGTTACTCATGTTGTTGGTTTTTTCCCAAATACTGATTTTTAGACTCAAAACCTCTGTGACCTCCTTGGCTCATTTTGAGCAGCGTAGAGAGATGTAGATTACCTGGTTGGGGTCTCCAAGATGATAATAATCAGTGGTTGATTATTCTTAGTGACATGGCTGAAATTCGGTCACAGAGGCGCAGATGTATTCACTCCTCGACATCTAAAGCTCGAATATTCGCACTAACCTTTATCTTCAAGTTGTTTATTCTCTACTTTGATATCACTATTTTTCTGAAGTGTGAAACATTCAGTTCCCTTTGCAAATTTTAATAATGCAAGAACGAAGACATCAGAATAAAATGGTCTGGTTTCATTTCATGGCCTATCATCAGCTGCAAGCAGCCTACAATTGAAGGGAAATATTAGCAGTAGTGATGACGTAACGTTTCTTCAATATGTAGAAATAAATGAAGCTTAAGGATCCAGGAATAAAAATAAGGTAGTGAGTCGAGGAAATACTGGATTAATGACCACAACTGTTATTCAAAATCAAAGACAATCTTTATCTGATGAGATAGGGGATTCTGGAGTTATGGAAAGAGGGACTGGACAGCAAACACACAGGTGTAAAAGAAGAGGTTTTCAAAGAGCTAGTAGGTTACGTAAGTATATGAAGAACTTTAGGCTAAGAATGATTAATAGTCAGTAAGTAAATAATGAAGAGATACTGCAATCAAAATAAACTATATACATAGTTGTGCAAGATTATATGCAGTTACCAGGGTAAAGGAAGGTTAATTACTCTTTCTGAGTACATAGATCAGGTTGAAAATGTTTGATGGAGAGGGCTGCCTCAAACCATAATAAGCATGGCGTTCTTTGCTTGTCGATAATCCTGAAGGATTGAGAAACATCTATTCAATGTCTTGTTTCAGCCAGGCTCCTGGTGGTTGTGCTGATAAAGATTTTGCTACCTTTCAGACTCGGATTTCTCGGAATATGCTCATAAAATCTAGTAGATGCCCTTCTTTCTGTCAGTCTCATGTACTTGCTCCCACAAGTGCAAGTGAATTGATATACACAGTTGGGTATTTGTCTACTTTTAACTGTATTATCGAATATACTGTGTTATAAACTTAGATTAGCCTGGCAGCCGGGTAGCTCCTTCTCAGCGCAGCTTTTATTCTCTGGTTTCGGATGTCTTATCACTCTTGAATGCTGGACGAGGGGAAGCAGGTCTCTTATCAACAGTTGGATGTTTGGGTCTCTCAATAAATTCTTTTCCATGCTTCATAATGAATTTCTTCGGTTATCCATTCTCTGTGAGTCTTTGGAATGATAGCTAATTCCTCTTCCAGTTTGTCTTTTGACTACAGCATTCTTGTTCTAGTGAAGAGAGTTCTATCCACTTGTTCTGTGTATACTACTGTAAAGTGTGCGACTTGGACCGATGCGCTTGTGTGCATGGTTCTACGTTGATTTCGTCTGTCTGTCTATCTCACTCATTTCGATCGCTGAAGAGCCATTTTCCCTCTTCCCTCTTACACAAATCTCACCCTTGTTCATTTACAAAAGGTAATAACATGCGCTAACCACTTCACCTGGGAAGTTGTATCAGCTCAAATGGGTTAGTTACTGACGACCTCTCAGCTCAGATACAAAGGGCCGGTATGGCGTTTGCCAACTCATGTCATTCCTGGCGCCGTCGAGATATCTGACTACTTGTTAAAGGATAAGTACACTATGTCACAGTCCACTGTGCCCCGTTATACGGCTGAGAAATGACCGTTAAAAGTAATTGATATTAAGAGTTTACGGGTTTTCAAACACGTCTTTTTAGCAGTGTTCACATATACTGGAATCACCATGTAAGCAACGTTGAAGCTGGGTGGAGTATATCAGGCAAGGTGGTCGATGGGGTTGTGAACCTTCACCGACTGATGTGGCTTAGACGTGTGTTTCCTAAACACCGCCTATATCAACGTGCAATGCTACCCGAAGTGGGACTTG